TTTTAACTTACAATTATAACAGAAATTTGGTCAATTATTTTTGACTTGTAATCCTTACTTACCAGTATTTATTGCTTTGCAAAAATTTTTCCATTTTGAATAATTTAGCTTTGTTTTCTTTTTCATTTCTATTTTTTCCTTTTGATTGAAATATAGCCTATCAAAATGAGCTTACATAGGACTGTACTGAATATTGTCTCCAAAAAGAGCATGTAAGCCCTTTAATATGAAACTGAGGCAGTACTAAATACAGACTTAATTCAGTAAACTGACATCTTAGCAAATGGTCTTTTTACATCTGTGGACAAGTTGGGGTGTGTGTGTGTGTGTGTGTGTGTGTGTGTGTGTGTGTGTGTTTGCATTTTAAAGAATGGCATTTTCCCATAGCCACAAAAGCACTCTATATAAGAAAATAAGTCACATTTGCCATATAGAAGCAGGAGCTATGGGACTGGATATAACTGACTTCTGTCTCTGATTTCTCCATTCCCATTATTCTGTTTGACATTTCTGAAGCCAGTTTTACATTTTAGTAGAGTCATAAATAATGGCAATAACCTGGAAAGGTTGGACTATACAAGAATGGAGAAAAGAGATAAACAACATATGCATGTCTTTACGTTAAAAGGGCAAGGGGGCATTAAATGTTGGGTGAACCCAGTTCCAAGCAGAATACACTGAGAGACTGGGAAAAAATACATGTCAGTCCCTAGACTTCCAATTCAATAGGAGGGGGGGTCCTTCCCCATCTTGAGGCTACTTTGAGGGTGTTCTACCAGGGCTCTTGCACTAACTGACAATTAGCACAATTCAGTCAAGTTTAAGCTGAGAAGGGATCTGTTCCCCGACCTGCCTACTCCTCCAAAGCTGAGGCCACTGCACTGAACAACGCCAGGGAGAACCACTCCCAGCTCCACCTTGCTATATGACCCACTCCTTCACCCGCACAGCCCACACAGCTATACTGCAGCCCCACGTTAGGCCTTGTAGAAAAAAAAAATTATTGCAAACTGCTCTCATTTTATTTTCTCTGGATTATCCCTTCTTGCGTTTATTTTTGAGGAGCAGATATTTAAAATTTAGATTTTCCTTTTCCACAACAATGGAAAACATATGCAGTTCATTCACAATTTACAGACTCAGCAAATGGAGGCATTTCTAGGCATTGCTTTTGTTTGTTTTCAAATGTAGTTAAGAAAATGGCTCTGTATGGCTTCTGTTGGAGCTTGAAGGGCGGCAGGTCTTGCCTCTGTCCCCAAACAGTATAACTAAAGATTCTGAGGCTATTCAATACTCTATGCCAAGAAGTGAGTGATTTCTGTGAGAAATAACAGCCAGCATAGATATAGCTAAAGGAAGGCAGGAGTGGAGCCTCGAATTTGCTTGGAATCTAAAAACCTCACCTGAAGGTTGTTTACAAAGGGGCTGAACTGAGATAAGGCTGGATTTGAGAATGGCCTGGGGAAGCAAGGCTACCAAGGTGACAGCATTCAGTTGGGGACCTAAGACAAGCACTGTCTGACGAGGATGATGATCTGACTGATCTGACTGAACCTGAAGACTAAATTTGCAGGATTGAGAGGAGATTAGAAGTAAATGATTATAAAGATTACAGAAAACACAGTGGCAATGCTTCAAAAACAAAACACTGCTTTCCTGTCTGAGTAATGACAAGAATATGAAATCAGCAGCCTCAGTTGACATTCATGTCCTGCTGCGGGGAGAGGACAGGAATTCGGGTTTGCACTGAGCGATCCAGTTCATCTCCACTCCACTGGACCCGAAACTGGATAATTACATTCCTCTTTTCTTTCTGATTCATCTTTCATCAAAAAGCTGTATGACCCATCGTGTCAATAAAACCAACAAAGATGGCTGGGAAGGAAGTGTCCAGATATTTCGAGGCTTCCCCAACCAAGGAAATTATATATTTCAACTGCTTATACTGATTTTTTTTTAATGCCAAGCTATGCGGCTCAGCTGTCAAGAGCTGTGGAGTGAAAATAAAATTAGGGGCCAAATGCCTAAACCCTCAAGAAATGTCATGGAGAAGAAGCAAAAAAAAGTAAAAGGTTTTCCTTATTATTATTTTCTTAATGTTTAAATGTATGGATTTTGTTATCAGTGCTCTGAAAATGGAGCCATTGGGCCAAATGCTTATGTTTAAGAAATGCTTTGGACTTAAATAAACACCATTTTCTTTTCTCTTGGATTAATTTACTTGCAGATGTGTGACATAGTTCGGGAATATATACCCAGCTGAAAAATACAGACGAGGGCAGGGCAGAACCTAATTTCTTACTATTCAGACTTTATTGAACAGACAACATAGCTTTCAAAAGAAACATGAACTTCTCTTTCTTATTCACTTCAGGGACAGAGAGATGGAATCGAAAGCAGAAATCAGTTTCCTCCAGTGACGAAAAATAGCATTTTAAAATCTTGTAGTGTTTCGTATTTGCTGCTGTTTTGATTTTTTTTTTTTCTTTTCCTTGGCAGGCTTGTGCATTACTAAGCAGTCCAGTCCTACTGCATCCTTGGTCCTGCACTTACTAGCGGTAAGGATGCACTAACTGGCTATGCGGCAGTAGGGAATTCACATCACCTCTCTGGGCCATAGCTTTTCTCTGTAAATTGAGTGAGTTTGGCTAAATCATACACTGTTCCAGTGTTTTGGTCAATTTTCTAGGTCTTTGTAGGTTTATCGTTTGCATGTCCCCCTGTGGGAAGATGGAATCTCTTACTATAGCCCGAGATACTAGAAGATCAGCTAGTTAACGGGCTACAGCCGAAGAGAACATTCCCATCGAGTTGAGAAAGAGACCGTGGGTGGTGAGTCTAGTATAGAGCCCTAGGAATCTAATGCCTCTTTTCCCCTTTCCCATTAGATGGTTTTTTCCTGTTTTCAATATAGTATTCTATAGATTTGTACTTCACTTTGGTATCTAAAGAAAAAACGCATTATCATTCCCATGGATGATTAGAAAACAAAACTTTGAAAAATTAAATTCATGCCAGGATCTTCCCATCTCAGAATAGCAGGGAAAATATTTATGTTGGATGTTGAGCTCATGTCAAATGGCCAAACAGTGATTATAGGGAGGTGGTTGTCCTGATTATACATTATCTCCTCGTTATGATTCAATAGTTTGTTAAATAATTTTAATATTATTTAAAATACATTTTGTTCTATAATAACTATAATTTTAAATCATGTTTGTGAAGTAACTTTATTTACAAATAACCTCTGTCTTAGTGAAATAATTTTGCTTATTAGTAAAACTAAATATTGCTCCTGTTAAACTGAATTGTAAGACTTATGGGGTGTGTTAGTTTCCTAAGGCTGCTGTAACAAACTGCCACACACCAGGTGGCCAAGAACAACAGAAATTTATTCTCTCACGGCTCTGGAGGCCAGAAGTCCAAAATCAAGTGTCAGCAGGGCCAAGCTGCCCCTGAAGACTCCAGACTCCAGAAATTCAGAATCAAATTGCCAATACAATGGCAAAGTAAGTGATAAAGAAAAGCTGGAGGTGGAAACGGGACTGCTGTGGGGTTAGAGATCAGGAACGTCATTGTAACAACTCTTTGCTCTTCTCCTAACTGAAGGTGTAGCCTTGTTGATCATTGGTTTCCGTCAAGAATCCAGAGGGGCACTGATGTCTGCCCATAAGTGTGTAAATTTTCAGCATGTCTTTCCTGAATGGGCATGAAAAAGCTGTGAAACACCGGGAAACTGAGATGCTCTATTCTAGCAAGACGCCACCTGGCAAGAACCACGTCTACATCTGTAGCTAAGTATCAGGGACTTCGTCTCATTTTGTAGTGGTTGTGCATGTGTCGTTTCTTCCAGCCTACCTTAAATAATAAACTTTCCAATTCCTTTGTCCATTCTGGGTTCTGTGCTGAGGCCGAGTGCCATTTTAATACAGATAATGTGGGCATTTTTCTGAGGATTGTGAAATATTTGTTTTGAAGTTTTGGGAGATATTAGTTTCCAAACCCCTGTCTTAGTAAAGATGTAGGAAGAAAGTAAGGACAGCACTGACAGATCAAAGCAGGGCTGGTAGGCATTATAGGTTTGGTAAAAATGGGAAGTTTGAGAATAAGAGACAGAAGAACAAGTTTGTAAAACCAGCTTCTGAGGTTTAACAAATGAAGCCACTTAAAAGGGAATGTTGAAATCACTCAGATACTAGAAGCTGGGTAGAACACAATTTATTGAACAAATGTATTTGGAATGTATTGAATTTGCATTTTCTCTCTGTGATTTGTACATTAAAATATTTGCCATATCCTTGTTATAAAGGTAGAATGAATGTGCTTTTCTTTGAACATGTGCTTCACTTGCCTTTCATTCACTGAGTCAAAGTTATGTTGCAAACAGGGTTCCATTCAAACGTTATTGCCGGATCCGATAACGGTAACAGGTGGGACTTCTTGAGGCTTTTCTAATCATGTAATAATTCACTAAATTCTCACAACAATCACAGGAGAGAGTCAACATTACCATTTCACAGCTGGGGACGCTGAGGCTTGGAGAAGTTCAGGAATTCTTCCAGACCTCACACAAGTCATAAAAGTCGTAGAACCAAGATGTGAACCTAGTTAGCCCTGCTCCTGCCTTCCTGCTCTTAACCAATTTATCAAACCAACTAGCAGAGCACATTGTTTTATTGAAACTGCACATGTTATTCTAGAGTTTGCAACTTAAATCCAAGACAGCACTTTTTTCCCCTTATATTCTCAGGTTTTATTCATCTAACTCATTTCTACAGATCAGTATATTTCTATCATAAATATACTGATGTGTAAGTATGCTGATGCCAATGCAGCATCTAGGCACGAGAACGGAATGTATTACCTTGAACCACCCAAATTTGGTCAGTGGGTTAAAGAGTAGTATGGCTACTTCTTGTCCTCTTGACACTCTGGCACAGCCCTTTTAAGCTATGAGAGAATATTAGTATTGATGTATATCCAAGTCACAGATGCCTTACCTTTTCTTGAATGCTCTCCAGTGCCTCAGAAGCAACGTGATGCCGAAGATAAACTATAAGAAGAGGGCTGGAAGTGTGAGAGGGCTACACGTACAGGAGATGTGGACCAGAACAAGAAGGCTGGAGTCACAGTGGATGTCTGGTTTGGGAACTCGCTGCAGCTCCTAGAGATTACCAGGTGGCACGTTAGAAATGAAGTCTGCTGAGCCTGTTATGTGAACTGCAGACATAGTTTGGAGTCAGAAGGTCCGGCATGTGGGCCAGCCATGGGGACACTCTTGGGAAAGGGCAGTCTTACCAAATAAGTCCCTGCAACAGGGAGCAAGGAGTCTTCTTAGTTCATCCAAATCTCATCTCTAGCCATCTGGCGTGGGTTCCAGAGAGTTTGTGTGGTACCCTGAGTTCCCAGTAATAAAAGCAGGATGAAATGATTGAGGGACTTGACTTTTCCCTAGCAAGCCGACTTCCCTGTATCCACCAGCTCCTTCCTCTTCTCCAACATGTTATGAAAGCTAAAGGATCTGTGTTCATAGCAATGTCTTCCGTGCCTGACCTTCAGATGACATACCATAGGCTTCCTTTTGAAGCATCAATGCTGTTTGACATCCTAAGTAATGTGGACGTAATATGTAAAGATGTACAGTGGAAGTTTTGATTTGAAGCCTGGTAATAGGCTTCACAGTTTTGTTTCCTGGTTAGGAGTATTTTCATGGTTGCCACCAGAATGCCTACGTAGGGAAAAAAAAAAGGGGGTGTTGAGGAAGAAATGACAGGGGCAAATCTTGATAAAAGTTTAATTCACTGACAGTCAATAGGAGAAAAGACATTACCAGCTGCATATATTAGCACATTGTTAACACACCCACTCAGGTTTTGAAATATCCATTTAAAATAACTTAATTAAAACCCAGTTATAGAAACTTTCCACACTAACAATGAAACATCTATTTTATGATCATTCTACATGTCAGTGGACTTTAATTTTTAAAAATGAACTGCAGTGCCTTTTAAAAAGAGCACTAAAAGGGAAAACCTACATAATACTCATACTGTTTCAAAGATATTTTTGCCTTCATTTGAGAACATGAATTCTAGTCGTCCTCTCTAATATGGGGAAAACAGAAAGCATTCTAAGCAGAGGATGGCTGTTAGTATTTGTCCTGTTTAAAGAAGTTTTCATCTTAGGCACATTAAGGAACTAAACTACAAAATTTGTGTTTTGACAACTGTGTAAGAAATTTTTAAAATATATACATATTATGTGTGATGTTTTTATAACATGCCATCCAATTATAACTTTTTAAAAGTATTTGTTCAGAAAAAAATTAATTTATTATGCATTTTAGAAACCCTGATAAATGTAGTAATATGAATATAAAGCAAGCTTTCCAGAAAATAACTTCCCATTTTCTATTTTTGGCCAGAGTCCTCTTTCAGCCAATAGAGGGGTGAGCCAGACCTCACAATGTGAAGATGGTGCCTCTTGTTCCTGGCTCACAAAGAATTTGGTGCCACATATTCCTCTGCTTGTCATAGACCTCAATCTGGTTCAGCATCCACGTGTGTGCTGTGCCCAGCTTCCCCTCTTGGGAGCCAGCATCCGTCACAGCTTCCATGAATAGCAAGTTATCCTAAACTGTCTATTAGATTGTAGGCTCCTTTAGATTTCTTTAGATTGTGCATTTTAGGACTTCCGAAATAAGAATGTAATTCCAAACCAAAAATAAAGTAGTACCAGTGTCTATTTTACCTAAATGCTCACAGATACAGTAGCTCCTGTGCTCTTTACCTTTGTTGTTCTCATGATGTACATGGAGCTGTCATAGCTGTTGGCAGAACTAACACATGACTGGATTATAAGCGAACTTTGAAAAGAAGGGTTTATGCTTTTAACGTTAATGCAAAATTGAAAGATTTGAGTTTCTCACTTAAGAACGTCAATAACACATTTGTTTATTTCCTCCCTCAAACAAATTTTTCCTTGCACAATATATTTGTAATATATGAGTGCGCAAACACGTCAGTGTTTACACATTGGAAAACTGAGATTTTAGTATTAATGTTGCCATTCAGCTTTTCGTCAGGCTTTTCCTGCTCAGAAACATTTGAGTTTTCCCTATTTTCTACATCATCAATCCCAAACTCCTCTATCTGGTCGTCAATCCATCCCCTCTCTAATCAGGCTCCATCCGTCCCATCAAATATATTCTTTGAATTCCCAATGAGCACACACTTATCAAGCCCTTCTCCCTCACCTGTGCTCACCTGCACCAATCTCCAGGCAACTCTCTCAATTGAAAGATCAAACATTCTCTAGAATAGCTCAGTCCTTACATGATCAATTTCCTAATTTAGCACTGAATTTGATATTTAGTTATACATTGCATCAATTTGTAATATGATGCTATTATTTAATTATTTTCTATGTGTCACTCTGTTTTCCTCAACTGTTCTGGAAGCATAAACAACTAAATCATGAAGGGGTAAGTATGAAGTTCAGAAATAATCAAACTGTTAGCAATGCCATTTCCTGGGTTGGGGGCCGAGCGGGTTGGGATGACTGAAAGCAGAAGACAACTCTGGAACCTGCTCATTTCCAGCAAGGACAGCAATAGTAACTTCTCCGAGCAGCAGCCCCATCCTATAAATATTCAAGCCCTCACCCTACCAAGGGGTCGCTTGCGGTCCTGGTTGGGTCCTGAGAAATCAGGGTTGGGGAAGTAAAGAGAGGAACAGTCTCTCATCAATTTAGGACTTTCCATTGTTATAATCTCATTGCTCCAAGAGTTGTTTAAAGACACGGTTGAATGGAATTAAGTCTGCCCTTATTTTTCAACCCAGATGGAAAAAAAAAAAGTGAAGCATTCATGAAATACAAATCTAAGATGACTTCTGAAATTGTATTTTCTTCCTGGAAATGGCATAGCAAAAGCTATAACAAAATGTTTATAGAATTTTAATATATTAAGTTGTAAGTAAAATGCATGCATTTGAAATACATTTATCATAATTTTATATAGTTTTATGGAGTTAAGCATATATATATGTATATATATATATATACCTCTATATTTATATAGATTTCTTTGTATAGATCTATCCAGACACGACTCTTTAAACTTTTATATATTTTAATCTCCAGTGAGAAATACCAAAGTGAAATAGGTCATTTCTTTCCATGGTGGAGCTGATGGCTGACTCCAAGCTATGACCAAATGATCTCTCTTTGAAGCCAGATGAGAAATATGAACATGGGCTTATTTTTCCTTATGTGTATCTTCAAGAGTCCATTAATAATTCTGCTTTCATAATGATGAGAGTTAACTTTTAGAACAATTTATGCAAAAAAAAAAAGACTAAGAGAAGAGGTCTTTGTCTCTTCAAGATGACATAACTTTGGCTGTGGAATTTTTTTAAATCTTAGAGGACAATTGTGTGTTTGGGGGGAAAAACGGGGACTGACTCAGAATGCTGTAGTTAAAACATCTCCAGTTACCTTACACCCTGAAGACATGAAATACGTTCCAACTGTTGGAAACTTTCAGTTAAAACCAATTTGAGTTTTTCTGCTCAAAGTCATTAATTCAGTTTGTTAGACCCAGATTCTTTCTTAACAAAGTGGAACATAAACAACTCAGACTTCCTTAAGAAAATTAAAGAGTGGTAGATAAGGTCCTTATACATAATTTCTAATATTTATTTATGCTTACTCTATATCCTGCACTGTGCCAAATTCTTTGGATGCATCATCTCATTTAATCTTCACAGCAATCTTATGAGGTAAATACAACTAACAGGACCATTTTCTGAGGAGAGGACTAAAGTTTAGAGGGTTTTAGATGCTTAATGTCATAGAATTTTGGCAGATCTAAAATTCATACCTGGACATTCTGACTCGGAAGTTAAAGCCTTTAATCACTATTCTATTTTGCCTCCCAGACAAAAATAAGCCTTTACTTTCACCTTATTTTCAGCTGAAGATGAGAATCTCCTTGAGAGCACAGTTCTATAATGATAGCCCAGAAAGAAGCTTAAGACTTTGCACCTAATTCCAATGTGTGGGTCTCTGCCCACAGGCTGAAGGCAGACCGATTCTCAAGCAGACAAGACACAAAGCCAATCTTATTTTCAAGTCCTAGAGGAAGATGATCCACCAAGGAGGAGTGAGAAAGAAAAATTCTGTTCCTGTAGAGGATGGAGTTTTGAGTCACTTCACTTGGATATTAAAGGGAAGGGGCCCCCATCCATATAGACGACCTCACATTGCACTTATTTCAGAGCCTTTATCGTGCCTGTGTGGCATTTCCAGCCTCCCTGTCTAAAGTACTCAAAAGTTAAGCACAGATGCTTCAACTGTATCTCAGTTGCTTCCTAGTAACCACTGCTGATTCATCCTATAAATAGTGTCTTAAGCCTTTTTCCAATGTGCACCTGCAAACCCGGACCACAGCTTGTTACCCTGGAGGTGATGTCTTTCTCTCTCTTACCTGGGAAGAGTCTGCTGACCTTGGTCCTCTGCTCTGAGCATCTTCACTCTTCAATGTCACCAGGAGTGACTTTATAGACAGTCTTAAGCTGTTTGGGGCAGAAAGACGCAACTTTCAGGCTGAGCACAACCTGAAAAAGGTTTTTATCGTTGTTGCTTGCTGTGGCACACTGGCAAACTCCCCCAACGTCATCTTTACTGATCTGTTGCTATTTGAGGTCAGGGACCTTATTCCTCTTGTTTACCACTATATATCCCCGTTCAGCAGTGCTCGGCATGCTGTAAGTGCTTAATCAATACTTAACGAAGTTCATGAGTGAGCGAACATACTCCCTGTTGTCAATTTCCTCAGATTCTCCTGCTTTGTGATCGCATTCCTAAAGTATCCTCATTTGGGGAACCTGCTCAAAATGAGACAAATTGTTAAAATAAATATTATTCACAAAAGAATAAAATTCACAAAACTGAGGAGGATCATGCAGTGGATAGATGAGGGTTTTGAAAACACATATTACATATAGTTCTGTTTTCTCTTTCTTGAAGAAAATTGGTTAAACACATATTACATATAGTTCTGTTTTCTCTTGAAGAAAAGTTGGTTAAACATATTACATATAGTTCTGTTTTCTCTTTCTTGAAGAAAAGTTGGTTAAACATACATTACATATAGTTGTTTTCTCTTTCTTGAAGAAAAGTTGGTTAAACATATATTACATATAGTTCTGTTTTCTCTTTCTTGAAGAAAATTGGTTAAACACATATTACATATAGTTCTGTTTTCTCTTTCTTGAAGAAAAGTTGGTTAAACATACATTACATATAGTTCTGTTTTCTGTCTTGAAGAAAAGGTTAAACATATTACATATAGTTCTGTTTTCTCTTTCTTGAAGAAAAGTTGGTTAAACATACATTACATATAGTTCTGTTTTCTCTTTCTTGAAGAACAGTTGATTAAACATATATTAGAGCTTCCCTGGTAGCGCAGTGGTTGAGAGTCCGCCTGCCGATGCAGGGGACGCGGGTTCATGCCCCGGTCCAGGAAGATCCCACATGCCACGGAGTGGCTGGGCCCGTGAGCCATGGCCGCTGAGCCTGTGCATCCGGAGCCTGTGCTCCACAACGGGAGAGGCCACAGCAGTGAGAGGCCCGTGTACCACAAAAAAAACACAAAAAAACAAACAAAAAAAACCATATATTACATATAGTTCTGTTTTCTCTTTCTTGAAGAAAAGTTGGTTAACCAAAAACAAAAACTTACTCCCGGAGTAGATGAAGGTGGACTAGCAAATGCATTTTTCACAAGCTTTCTCCGTGGCTTCAAGA